ACCTACCTCCAGAGAAAAAGAAAGGCTACTTTCCCCACCTGTTCAATACTCTGGCAAACCAAGACTATGTAGGCGCTTTGCCAGACAAAAAGTACTACTGTCCCGAATCTATGTTTGAGAAATCTTACAATGACTTTGAAAAATGGTACAGTGAGCAGGTGGCAAACAACTATGTGTTCAACTTTAAAAATGAGATCCTAGCCTATTGTATTTCAGATGTTGATATCTTAGCCCAAGCCTGTCTAAAGTTTCGTTCAATTTTTCTAAAAGAGTGTAATGTTGACCCGTTTCTCGAGGCTGTTACCATTGCGAGTGCTTGTAATCTAGTTTTCCGCCGTAATTTCCTGAAACCCAATACTATTGGACTTATCCCTAAGAACGGCTATCGATTAGTAGACAATCAATCAAATATAGCGCTCCAATGGCTTTCTTGGGTCGAGGAAACCAACGGGATTAGGATTGACCATGCAGGTCGAGGTAAAGAAGTCAAAGTCAATGGAATGAAAGTAGATGGTTTTGATGGCAGGAACATCTACGAATTTAATGGCTGTTATTTCCACGGGTGTGTTAAATGTTTTCCTTACAACCGTCACGCTCCTTTAAAAGAGGATCCTTCTGATAGCCTACATCTTCGCTATGAGCGAACCAAGGCTAAAAATGCAAAGTTTACAGAACACGCACTAGTAGAGATGTGGGAATGCGAATTTCGTAAACAAAAAAAAGATCAGCAGCTTAAATATCTGGATAGTTTGCCTATCTTAAACAATCTCCCACTTGATCCAAGGCAGGCTTTTTTTGGAGGTAGGACGGGTAACGCAAAATCGTATCACAAATGTGTTGAGGGGGAAACTATACAGTATGTCGATGTTTGTTCCCTATACCCTTATGTTTGTAAGTATGGGAAGTACCCCATAGGCCACCCAACCATCTATGTAGGAGACAGGGAGTGTCGTGAAAGAGGTATGGGTGTAGAGGGTTTGTTAAAATGTAAAGTATTGCCGCCTCGTGATCTCTACCACCCTGTACTCCCTACAAAAATGAATGATAAATTGATGTTTGTGTTGTGTAGAACGTGTGGGGAAATGATGTATCAGGGAGAGTGTAATCATGACAGTGATAATAGGGCGTTAGTTGGGACATGGACAATGGATGAAATCAGAAAGGCAGTAGAGAAAGGGTATATTGTATTGGATATGTATGAGTTGTGGGAGTATCAGGTAGCGACTTATGAAAATGGGGGTTTGTTCACCGATTTTATCAATAAATTTCTTAAGATGAAACAGGAAGCTTCGGGCTATCCGGAATGGTGTAAGACTGAGGAGGACAAAAATAAGTATATTGCAGAGTATTTGGGACACGAGGGAATTAAGTTGGAGAAAGAAAAGATTGTTAAGAATGGAGGTTTGAGATCTTTGGCAAAATTAATGCTAAACAGTTTTTGGGGAAAATTTGGACAGAGGGAAAATCAAACTAAGGCTACTATTGTTAGAGACTCGAAAACATTATTTCAAATGCTCTCTAGCCCCGAAATTAAAGTAAACAGAATTCAGATTGTTAATGATGAGGTTGTTGTAGTTTCATGGGAGTATTTAGAGGAAGTGGGGGAACCTCTTGGTAACATAAACGTTTGTATTGCGGCCTACACTACCTCGCAGGCGAGACTCAAGCTCTATGAACATCTTGAAGCCCTAGGAGCTCAAGTATTATATTATGATACTGACAGTACTGTTTACATATATGGAAACGGTCTTTATAGGGTGTCTACAGGAGATTACCTCGGTGAAATGACTGACGAATTAGTAGAGTATGGACCCGGCTCATACATTACTGAGTTTGTCTCTGGGGGGCCTAAAACTTACGCGTACCTTGTCTGGTCAACCAATCAACAAAAATTGATCCCAATATGTAAAATCAAGGGCCTCACCCTTAACTTTAAAACATCAAAAGTTGTAAATTTTGAAAAATTAAAAGAGATGGTTCTGAGTGAAGCAAAACAGACTGTTGAAATTGAAGAAAGTAGAATCAGAAGGACTACAGACAGAGACATCGTCACCATCGCTGAGAGCAAAGTGTTTAAAATAACTGGTCCTAAAAGGAGGTACGAAGGTCAATATGATACTTTACCTTTTGGATATAGAAAAGTCCAAAGAGCCACGTAAATTGTATTGTAAATGTAAACTTCTTTGTAAATAACTTTGTAAATGTAATTGTAAATTTAACTGTATATAGCTCTCCTAGTAAAAAAACAAGTCTATAGATATATACTTATGTAACCTGACCAAGGTGTGAGTGTGTGTGTACATTGAGTAGTTCAGATTTAGAAGAACCTGTGCTACTCCTTGTACTTGTGTGAATGTGTGTACACTGGGGGGTTCAGATTGGATAGAACCTGTGCCCCTCTTTGTATTTGTGTGAATGTTATTGGTCACTGGCGCGGCCAACGAAACAGCCCGTAAACCATGAGTGAAAGTCACTGGCGAGGCCAACTAAACCGCCCGCAAACTTTGAATGTTAACTTTGGTAGGGTTATATAACTAAATCTATAGACTTGACAAAAAAAAAAAAGCTTTATAAATAAAGGAGAGGACGTTAAACAACATCAACCAATATAATATTATATACTATTATAAACTGGTATATAATATTATAAACTGGATAGGTTGTATAACGTTTAACTTGGCCTCACTTAATGAGGGGATAGTCTCAAACCCTATCCAATATAAAGCTAAAAGATGTGTATATATAATTTTTATAAGGAAAAACTATACTAGATATAAATTATTTGTCAGGCGGAAAGGGTTATCTAAATAAAAACACACATCCGCTGTGATAAGTGTACTCGATAACGATGAGGATAGTACAACAGGATGTATGGTTTCTTGTAACGGACTTTGATATCTTTAGTGGCATAGGGTCAGATAAGAATTATAAAAATGGCCAATTATTATCATGTTTTATCCGGTCTATTATCTGTGGTAAAACCAATGTCGAATATGATTTTGTGTAATCTTTACAAAAAAAAAATCTTGAGATATATAAAATTATAGAGAATTTATTGGGGAATTAAAAATATAATACTATTGTATAAAATATTTATAAGTAAATCTCGGTGATTTATTTTACTAACAAAATACCTATTTTGGGTTAGCATATAAGGTGTATTGCAGTTATACTCAAGTTATGCATTAATGAAGGACAAAAGTTAATTTGTAATTTAGTTGGAATATTACTATTTAACCTAAAAAGATATCACAATTTTGAAAATCTAATTGTTAACAATCCTACTTATTGTTTATCTATCTAAATATATAAAAGGCAAAGCCCTCACTGACACACTCACTCATCACTAATTCTCCCACTTCCCATTTACCTAGGAGGCTGAAATTCGGTAGACTGATTCTTCGGGCATTAAATAGGAAAACTAAGTAGTTTTTATTCTCATCGGGCTTTCGGGTTCTGCCCCAGTGGCTCTGGAGTTTCCCATGTTAACCTTATGATTTTCATATTTAAAAGGAATTAATGAATCTTAACAGCTGTTTCTATTAAACAAGTTGGTTCTGTTCTATGATGTTCAATAGCATTAAAGTTACAAGGATTACCAACAGGGTGTAGCACTATTTTTTAAATATATGACAACAGCTAATCTGCAACCAAAAGGTGAGTGAGCATAGCGAACGAACTTCAACCTGGAGGCGAGTTAGCGTAGCGAACGAGCTAATCTGAAGGCAAGTGAGCACAGCGAACGAGTTCCAACCTAAAAGTGAATGAGCGTAGCGAACGAACTTCAACCAGGACGTGATTGAGCTATGCGAACGAGCTCACTTATAAAGTTAAACGGGGCAAAGCCCATAGGTACAGCTAGTATTATATATTTTTGTCTTTGCTGAAGCTGTTTTTATAAATACAAAGATAAATACCTTATACCTTATTAGAGAATTTTATAATTTTTAATGTATAGATTTAACAGCTAACTTTAAATACTCATAAAATATGTATATATTTGAGGCTATATATATATATTATTGTGTTAAACTTTAGCTTAATCTATTTAGTTGTTTAAGAGTAATATATATAATCACACAAACTTTTAAATTTATAATATAGATAAGAAATTGATATTTTAGTAGGATATTATAATTATAGTTTCAATATAAATAAAGTAAAATGATATATATCTTGATCTCTATTATAGTCTATATTTATTATTATGTAAAAAAAAAACATCTTTAAGGAAAGTTATTGTCAAAACTATTGTAGCTGTTTGACAATTTGTATAACAATTGTGTTTTAAAATACTTAGTTTAATTGTTAATAAGTTTTTATCATTTAAATTAGTAAAAGTTGTATAAAAATTTTGGTTTTAGCAAAATTTCTATATAGGAAATAAGCTAATATATTATAATAAGACCTAGAACCAATTTTATTTTGATAACCCTAGAGGCTACCAACATAGCTGAACCAAGAGTTTTATAAAGTAAAACAGGTTTTTAACCTAAAAATAATTTAGTAGATTAAAACATTATTGTGTGCCAAATAGTTACTTCTATGTTATTTTTATGGAGAAAATTGTAAACTGTTATAGTTTGCTTATATCATTTTATACAATTAAAGTTAAAAATACTTTTACTACTCTCTGCTGTAGCAACCCTAAGCGTTTGTTAAATTTAATGATATTTAAATTAGAGATAAATATTTTTAGTAAAAATATAAGTTAAAATTTGCTTAGTTTTAACTGGACAAATAACTTAGTCGGGGGCGGGTTAATTAGTTAAGTGTATGTTTTTATGTAAAAATATATGTGTAGGGATTTAGTGGACCCTAAAATAAAAGTGGATACCTATAAATATTTGTGATATTTAAACTTTAGACATTATATATGTTTTTATATGGTTATATAAAATAATGATCCTACTATAAACTTAAACCTGTGTCACCTAAGTGAAAATATATTTAATAAATTTACCAATTTTCTTCTAAATCAGCCTCGATTCCTTCATCTTCTTCTATTTCTTCTTCCTCCTCTTCTTCCTCCTCTTCCAGTTCGTGGCTGCATTCTGCCACATATTCCCTAAACTGTCCATAATGGACAGTTAGGATCTCCTCTGCTGTCATATCGCTGCATCTATAAATCATTTAAAAGAGTATTAGAATCAGCATAAAGTTAAAAACCCTTGAGAAATAAATTTTAAAAACTAAGTTTAAAGATACGTACTGGCAACAAAGGGGAAGCCATTCTCCCCAGTGTTCTTCAATAGAGCAACAAAAGACATAGCGGCGACAGCTCCAGCACACACCATTAGGCATCTTGTTAGAAAATGATGATAGTAACAGATAATATTGCTTTGGAGAGGAGGGGAAATAGTGACAGATAATACTGTCTTAGGAAGGAGGTGGAAAATGTGGTTAACTCAGATGTTCCCTCCCTCCAATCATATAAATATAAGCTGTAGCTGCTATATGGATTATTGTTATGTTAGTTTTCATCATAGCTAATATGGTGTTATTATTCTTCATACTACTTGTATTGAGACTACTAATCAGCTCTGAAGCAGTTGATGAAAATCTGCCCCCAAATGGTCAAGTAAGTAGTACTATATAATTATACAACTTTAGATAAATAATTAAAAGTAGCTTTGTGTTTTTTAATATATTTATTATAAAATAATTATTTATTTTTAATTAGGAAAAGCTCTTTGTTAGTGTTTTTTTTATCAATGAATATGTTTTTATAGGATAGGGCAACAATAGAAGGAGATACAAGAGATGAAAGAGAACGATCAATTTTGGAAACTGTAAGTAAACTATTATTCATCTTTATTTATATTTGTTGTATACACATTTACTATAATGTTTTATTATTTAACCTAAAAAGATATCACAAATTTAAAAACCTAACTGTAAACAATTTTACTAGTTCTCATTGTATATTTTTGTCCATGCTGAAGCTGTTTTTATAAATATAATAGACTGCACCCTATTGGTAATTTTAATGTATATCATAGAACCAACTTTTACCAACAGCTGACTTTAAATATTCATAAAATTTTGCCTATATGTTAATTAGGGCTGTGAGCTAAATTATAGTTTAATTTGATAGTTAATTCATAACTTTTGTATAAATATATATTTGTTATTACAGTGGGGCGGTGGTTTGGAGACCTTTTTGGATCAATATCCCTACAATGCTGACTTGGAACATTACTTCATTAATGTGCATGGGGATGTCCTTTCCTTTGTCACATTAGACTATGATAATCTAGACCTAATACCACCTATACCTACGGGCTTCTGGACAATTTCTGAGGTATGTAGGTCTCTATGTAGTTTAAGTACCTCTAATAGTAGTAGAAGTAGTTTGTCTAATTCTTTATTTTTAATCTATATATGTATGGTTTTTTAGGAATATGCTCAAAATAGGATTCGAGATATGTGGTCAATAAGTAACCCTCCCGAACAAACTGGAGTCCATATCATAGAGTCATCACAAGAATATCCTAATCTTGTCTGGACTTTACTTCGATTAATGGTAGGTTTTATTTAAAAATATATAATCACTAGCTGTGTAATATAAAACTTTTATAGTATTTAGTTAAAACCTTATAAAACAGTTGGTTTATGTATTTTTAGATATACTAACTATTATATATAACTTAATTTATGTTGTTTGTTTTAAACCAATATAATAATCAATAAAAAGATTAATTATCTGTATCTACTAGTTAACCCTAATATATCCTATCACATGAGATGCACTTTAACAAAATTAAACCACCAGTGGTGACAAATAAAACATAATAGGCCTACTTTTATTTTTACTATCAGTTTTATCTATCAATTATATACTAAATCTTGACTAAAAATGCTTATTTAAAAATATAATTTCCCACCTATATACAACACTATTTCAAAGTCTTTTTCCTAGTTATCAGAAATCAAAAAACCAAAAGATAAAAAGTTTATAATTTTATCCGATATACAGACAAAACTGTAATTTTATTTATATAATGTGTCTCTTTTAAAAAGTATTTTTTATTAATCATAATATGTTTTTTATAGAGAAATGGTGCATCTATAACTCTTAATGAAGAACGTCAACTGCTTGCAAGACCTAATGTTCGGCAAGCACCTATATCAAAAAGGATTGTCCTTAACTCACACTTAAGAGATATGTTAAGAGAGGCTGAATCTTCTGTTCTTGTTGTAAGTAGAAGCTTTATATAGATAAACTTCTACTTATCTAAGTGTTTAATTCAACTTATTAGGTTTTTAATTCTACTTATGTTTTCAGCCATTTGTTGCTATGGAGACAGATAGTTTTTTTCAAAACGATCTTGGCCATCTTCTCATTTTAGAAGCTAACCCACTTTTACCGCCTCGCTCCCCGCCACATGTATTAAGCAACTTTTATCCAATTACCTGGGTAAGCTATATAACTTGAATATATATATAATTAGATTTTTACAATATATCAAGATTAAGTATTTTTGTCACCTCTCATATCTTAAACTTTACTCTAAATCAAATATATTTTACTAAACCTTTTATTTAGACAGATTTTACACAGTAATCAATTACACAAGAGCTTTAAGAATTTGTTTTTAGTTTTGATGACTATAGTGAGGTGATTAAGTTAACTCTTTAAAAGTTATTAGTATTTATAATTTAAGCAACAAACATATTTATAATCTATATAAATAATATGTTGCAAACTAGTCTTATACTCTTAGGCTCTGCTCTAGCTGTTTTAAAAGTTTCTAGATTATTGTTTATATTTTAATCAGCTATATAATTTAATTATTTGTTTTTTTTAGCAAACAGCGCAACAACTAATACATGAAATACAAATACAAGGAGCAGGTCCCTCTAATTGTATAGTTATCATACATGAAAACATTGATGGATATAATTGGCAATTGATCAGAATGTATACACTTCAAGACAACCCTATTTGGGCTTGGCAAACAACAACAAGGCGTTTTACAGCTAATACAAACTGGATACACATAAATGATCAGATCGATAACTATTTAGTAACTCCTATACAAAACAACTCACCAGCTAGTTCACCATCAAGCCCAAATTCAAGCATCATAGATTCACCACCTTCAAGCCCTGGATCTGTAGTTCCACCAAGTCAGAGTTCAAGAGATTCCTTCTTTCAAGATGATCGTGATATTCTAAGATCGGCTGTAAGTATATTTATAGATTAGAATTAGTTAGAGTTTGTTAAACAAGATTTTAAATTCTACTTATTTTAATAGCTTTTTTTCTATTAAAAACCAATCACAAAGTTCTACATTTCAAACAAGTTCTATTTATCTCAACTATACTATATATATACTTGATCATAGTTTGTGATTTAATTTTTATTTATAAGAGAGAGCTATTATTTACAAAGAAGAGCTATAAATAATGTAAGTTATAGTTTTCCTTATATAATACATATCTTAGATATTAAATAATCCTAGGTATGTAACAGAGTTTTATGATAAAAAATATTAAAACTTTAATTTTAGTTTAAGGTTGTAATTTTAAAAAAAGTCTAGCAACCCACAGATGAGTTGATTTCAATAATAGTTAAACTAACAGTTAGTTATTATTATTCTATTTTTAATAAGCTTTATTTTTACAGATATCTGAGAGTTCTTCACCACCACCCACTAGACGTAGGCGGCTAAATACAGAACGAGTGCTTTTACCCCGTGGAGACTCAGTAAGAAATATTTTAAAAGAAGTATTTAAAAAGTCCAAAAATATACAAGCAAAAACAATACAACAAATATTTACTAGGATTATATTATAACCATTTTATGTTTCAGATTAACAGATCAAATAACTTTGGCCTTTGGTTCGTACACACAAGAGGGATAGTTCTTCACATTTTTTCGGTAAAATACATTTTAAATATTTTTAAAACAATATTAAAATATAATTTATATTATATATGTTTATACTGTATATCATTATTTAGCTAAGATTGTGTTTCAGGAAGAAGTTATAGCTAGACTTGCTATACCCACCAACTTCCGGCAAGTAGACCAAGATTATGCTGAGAGGTGTGTAAGCGAGCTTTATACAACAGCTTTGCAGGAGCTGTTAGTTGAGGATTATTACATAACTTCAAGGATTAACGATGTTACCTGTGTTCTACGAATTCTTATGGTGAGTTATATAGAGACAAAAAAAAAGATTTTTATAGTTTAAGAGAATCTTATACCTATTTACATTTTAAACTATTTGTTTCAGAGAGATGGTGTGTTTTATGAGAGGGACCTAACAAACATCCCTTCAGCTTCAATCCCTATTTCTGGATTTCCACATGAAGAAATTACAAATATGATAATACTAGAACCTTCAAGTTTTCTACGAATGTTTTCATCAGAACATGTAGGTAGCATTACCTGAACAATTTAATATTATTTTAATAACACCCCGCCTATTACTAATACTTATTTTATTTTCAACAGCTCTCACCAACAATAGTTTCTGTTGTTAGACCTACATTATTAGTGCCTCCTATTACACCTCATTCAATACCTCCAGCTTCAGCTGTATCCCAGGCATCTTCAACAGATGGAGTATGGCTATCTGTAGATAGGTCGTCGTCTAATACACGAGCTAATGTTGCAATGCGGCGAGCAATGACTGCTGAATTAGCTGGACCATCCCACCCTTCTAGACGAGTACAACCTGTAGTAAGTATTTTAACATTACAAGACATATAAGTGTAATACTAATAGCCTGTAAGAACAAACTCAAAATCAAATCATTCAACTCAACATACTTTTTATTTTTTGCTGATATAGTTAAGTAATTACTTCAATGGTTTTAACTCTACTAAACATATTAGCTTCCTAAGCTTGCTTTAGTTACTAATGATAAATTTCTTATATATACAACAAATAAAAGTGTTGAGATACAATTACAGGTATTAGATTTTTTCTGTTATTATTTATCTCTTTTTTAAAGATTTAAAAATAAAACACCACATTTATCAAACTTATTAATCTTTATAGCTATTAATCTAATAAACTGTTACACTTAAATAGAGTTGCATTAGTTAACTAATCACAAAGTTACTTCAACACATATATTTTTAGTTCTAATAAGTTTTAAATTCCAACAGTGGGCTACACCTGGTTTATAAAACCATATTATTTTCCACTTATTGGGACTTGATATAGTACTTAAACAAATATTTCACCTATACAAATCTATAGAAAGAATATTAGTTAAACACTACATTATTAAATCTACAAATGTTTATATAAATCTGTAGTATATGTTTTTATAACAGAGGTTTATTCAGTTATTTTTATTCCTTCAACAATAAATTTAAATTAGAAGAGAAAGCTACCCCAGTTTTATATGATACAGATTAACTATTAAGTGAGTGATCCAAATATAATATTACCTTGATGATAAATCAACTATATATCGAAGTAAATAAAAATCAGCTTAATATATATGTTTCTATTTTCAGAATTCTACTTCAACTATACCTGAAACACATGAATGTCGCAGCTGCCGGCAGAGCGCTCGCCTTGAAACCTTTCGCAGGAGGTTACTTCAAAGGGTAGGTATCCTTTAAAGAGAAATTAAGTATAAATAAATTAATATGTTTACACTAAACTTTCCACACAAAATTTAACTATTGTTTACCTCCAGCTTGAGAGATTTATTATATACTACTGTAATAAATTTTACTAACCAGCTGATTTATGGTTTATACTATTTTATATAAATAGATAAAAACATTAATTCTTGTATAATATCTTTCAGGCTGTGAATAACCCGGAATTCACCCTACCTGCAGCTGCAGCTGGTAGGATTGCTACGCTACGAACCGAACTCCTAGCTGTAGCTAGCTTAGCCGGAAATACATTAGAGGGTTATTCAAATGCTTGTGGACTACAGCCAGCAGTTATATCAGCTCTATGGGAGGACCTCCGTAACACGTTAGAAGGTGTATTGAGGCAGACTACCGGCCAAATAGACACTATGATATCAGAACGAGTTCCACGACCATCAAATCCCCCAATTAATTTGGTAACGTGTCAGATTTGCCTAGAGAATGCCCCCACAGTTGCTTTACAACCATGTGGGCATACCCTGTGCCCTAATTGCGCGCACAGGGTATATAGATGTCCCTTTTGCAGAAAATTTATAGCCGATAGGCTAAATATATATTTCTCTGAGTAAAATCTACTGTTTTTATTTAACCTCAAAAACCCTGTATTGTTAATACATTTGTATTATAATACAAATTTCAAAATAGTATTAGTTTTAATAAATAGTTACTTCTAATACTTACCCATAATAGAAGCTGTACCACAGAAGACATAATGAACTACACAACTGTAGAGGACAATCCAATGTCATATAATCAGTTGGTACTAATTAACAAAGCGTTGGTTTGAGGTCACGTAATCAACCGAGATAGTAAGAATCACTGCTACATGATAAAAAGTTTGTTAGCTCTAACAGCTTAGAGTAAAACATTTAAAAGATGTATATAGTACAAGTAATACATGGTTATAATCCATTATAGTAAATCTTATATATTTATACATTCATTACTGCATCAACACTAGCACTCCAGTAGTAATAGGTAAAAAGTGAGGTTATGTTACATATACAAGAGATCAAACCTTCTGGACAAACAGTTAACTATACAAAAAAACAACCCAGAATAACTCATTTACTATTTGACAGCCTTTACAAAAACCATTTTTTATACTCAATAGTAAAGTTTAACCCTCTTTCAGCTGTTTTTAACAAACACAGTTTATCACATTAGACTATTTAACACAAACACTATTTACAAATATTTACATTTTCGGTCGGATGACGATTTACGGTAAAGTCAAAAAACCTAGCGCGCAAACGCATACGCAACCAGAAGCACTACATATATCACTATTTAACTAACAACTAGCTTGAAGAGGTATTTGTAGGGAGGTTCGGTCAGAGAATAGGGTGAGTTTACAATGTTAGAGCTTTCTCTTCTTGGATTGCGACGTTGCCAAGTCTCTGCGCTGTTGCCACATTGATCTTCTAGGTGGTTTATAAGTTTGAAAATTATTGAATTGTTGTAATCTTCTTTTTTGTTTAACAACATCTTTTTTGTTTTTAACATCTGTTTATTTCACATTTATTATACACTATATAATATAACATTCAGCAATTACCAATTATGATCAACGGTAAAGCTCCGCTTAAGCGTTATACACTATATAAAGTGTTTTTTTCCAGACCTACTAGGATTGAACCTATGAACCTCTAAACTAAGTCACATGATCAACTGAAATAAACAGCTGTGGTAAGATTACATCCGGCATTGAACCTCTAATAACATGTTTTGTGATTGGTTAGATTCGAACCCGTGAACCTCTAGCATAGGGTTAGGATTGAACCAGTAAACCTCAGTTACCATTAGTGGTTGGTTAGATTCGAACCCATAAACCTCTAGCATAGGTTAGGATTGAACCAGTAAACCTCAGTTACCATTAGTTAGATTCGAACCCATGAACCTCTAACATAGGTTAGATTCGAACAAACCATGTTAAAATCAAATCTCCAATACACACCCTGTATATGCAAGGTACAAGAGTAGGTATAGGTATAAGGTGTCATTTACCGATATAAAACTCCATACCCATAATTACTGTTGTGGCTCATATGGTAACGACTCCAACTACCAGCAAAAAGACCGGGGTTCGAAACCCGGTCAGGCCAACACTTTTTATCCATAATTTAATATTTAATTTAATAATTTATTTAATACAAACACCTACTGCACGTGGTCAGCTGTGGTCAACTAATCAGCTGAGATCATCTCAAGGTCAAATTCCTGCCCGATCGCTGCCATGACTACTTTAGTAAAAATTACAGTTATATTTACTGAATTAATAGCCGTGTAAAATTCGAGTGTACAAATTTGTATTATACGAATAATATATAACAAGCTATTTATATCATTGGTTTGTTACATAAACATAACGTAAACCAAGGTGTCTTTTTTATAGCGAACAAAAATAAGAAAAAAAGGAAATCATCCATTAAAATTTCATGTAAATAGGACACCAGTCGACACGAATAAATACTACCTTCGGGAGTACAATAAGTACAATCTGCTTCACAAAAGATCCAATGATTTATTGACGCTGTTGAGAGCTTGAAAGTGTCTGTCTATTGTACAAAGTAACTGATGGAGAGGTATAGCGATACAATCGATTTACTATTTGTATAAAGAAAGTGTTCCACACATACCGCATATCCTTATAAAATGAACCCATTTTAGCTATACGACCTGCAATTTGAATGAATGCACTACCGTAACCGTAAGGTAAACTTTAATTTTTCTAAATGGCATGAATAAAATTTCCTTTCATTTAGTCCTATAGGTAATTGGCACTTACGTCAATTTAGGCATTATAATAATAGGGTTTTTTTTCAAATTATTAAAAAAATAACATGGTAAACACTTTTTCCCGTAAAACACGAAAATATTACATTTTCATTATGACCGTTTTCTGGAGCTTAAGAATTAAAAATGTGTACATTGTAGTATTGTTGTACAGTTTAGGTTACAGAGGAAATTGTAAATTGTAGTAGTTTTTTTTATGAATATATGAAGAGTTGATAAAATCCTGAAGTTTATCTATCATTCACGGAAATCAATTATCGCAATTAGTTTACGTATAGACTAAACTCATTTAACCTGCAACATCACTGCTATTACTTTATTGTTGCTATAGAATAATGACTTATTGATCAGCATCGTGTATTGTCCTGGGAAGTCTGGTTTTGTCCTTGGCCGGCCTCACGCCCATGTACATGATTTTATATTATAAATGTTTTTGTATGTGTTTATGTGTATGTGTGAAGTAATTTTGACGAAGGCTTGTGCAAGAGAATATGTTTGACCTATGACGACTGAACAGAAGAATTGAAAATGTAGTTTTGACCCTGAAACTATAGTCATCCACGACAATATAGGACTGATTGACGACAGGTTAGTAACCTCATTTTATGTCAATAAATCAATCCTGAAGGCAAATTATGTATAAGCGTTTAATATAGTTTAAAATGTTCATATAAAGGTATAATGTTAAGTCTAACATGTTAGTCTGGTGAAATGTTTTTTCGTTAGAATTGAGACTCTACTTCCTTCTTCAGAATTATTTCGTAGTTATCCAAACCGAGATACAAAAAAGTCTAAATCATTTTTCAAAAGGGTTAGTTCTAATTCAAATCAAATATAATTAAATCATTTTATTGAGATAAGTTGACAATAAATTGCATTACCTAAGTCAAACATAAATAATACAGCTTTACTTCTGGGTTTTAAGCTAATGATTAAGATTAAGGTATTTACAACAATATTTAATACTAATTCCATTTACATCTTCTTACTTTACTCACCAGGGTTTACAACAGCCTAGTTCCTGTGGCTCAAGAACTCCTGGATGCTGTAACTCGAGATTTTAATCAAATGTTTTTTGCATCTTTTAAATTTTGAGTGGTCTGATTTTAATTTTAAAGAAAGGGGGAGACTATTATACAAATTGATTCCAATGTAAAGGCTTTTGATTGTTAATTACATCTTAACTGTTCAAAAATAAATTTACCAGTTGTTTAGCATAATCCAGCAGGAACTAGCAGCATCCATTAAA